GTACTTTATCTAAATGTCTGAAATTATTAGATTGGACAAAATAAAAATAAAATTCCAATTCATTTTCAGTCCTTCCCCTCATTGAATAACGATCCTGCGTTCGCCACCGTCTCTACCTATTACCGTCAAATAGAGTAACATAGAGGTAAATACTGAATAGGTGAAATTTTTTTAGAATAAAATGTATTCAGTCATGATCATTATAAATATCATCATAAATTATACAACTTAACTATTTTACTAACTACCTACCTACTATAGTCTATAGCCTATAGGTATTAGGTACCCACAACTATGCTAAAACCTACAGCATAATACATTATTTTTATAGTAATTATATTATAATATTAAATATTAATACAGATGTGCACATTTCAAAACAAATTTTAAAAAAATTGCACGTACTTATCGTCATGTAAAACCGTGTAAAACTTAAAAACTATTTTTATAGGAAGACATGGTGCGAATAGGAACACCTAATTCTTTTGGTTTGATTAAAAAAAAAAATAATAATAAATCGATTTATATAATGTGGATACCGCAGAGTACTTAAGCTAGGTACCTAGTGTGTATGGGATTGTTATGAAGATATTTTTAAACGGATCTCGTAAAGAAAGTCGAAAAATAAATAAATTTATATAATGTGGATCTCGTAGAGTATCTTAGCTACCTAATGTGTGTGAGCTTGTTATTCAGTGTTATATATGTACACAATACTATTAGGCCAACCTATCATGAATAATATTACAGATTCTTACTTATATTTTTAATCAATCATAATATATACATTGAAATATTGTATGAGATTACATTAGACTAAAATCATAGCTTATATACACATACATGGATTAATTTATAGGTATTTAAGAGAAAAAATAAATCTCTTACTGTTATTATTGTACTATTATTCGTCAAGTTCAGTGAGAATTATATATATATATAACAATAAGTAAAAAATATTATAATCGAGCCACCACCTATTTCTACAGTTACATGAACATGTGAAACATAGTATGATATGCAAACCCACATTAAATCATATACCGATATGTATATTCGAAATTAAAAACACCTAAACATATTATATGGATTACATAAATATATATCTATACTAATATTATAAAGAGGAAAGATTTGATTGTTTGTATTGAATAGGCTCCGAAACTACTGGACAGATTTTAAAAATTGTTTTACCATTAGTAGCCGACATTATCGTTGATGAATATAGGCTAATTTAAAAAGTGAATTGATCACCCAGGGGAGGTGATAAAACTGGAATTTTGAGATTTACGATAGAAATTTGTGTTTATAAATAGTTGCCATGATGGGTTTTAAAGCTATTATAATAATAAATAATAATTATTGGTTGTTGTTTATTGAAAATGGTGGCTATTGCCTATTGATCATAGGAGAAATAGTTAGTATAATATTTCCGTAATGCCTACGACTGTTTATGTGTAGAATAGACCTCTGGGAAGAAGACAGGCTAATTTAAAAATGGTTAAATTTGGTTCTTTTTATTCATCTGATATTGGTACGGTTAGGTTAGGTTAGGATTTTGTATTAATAGATTATATTAATCAATTATAGGTGGAACACGACAAACTTGCTATAACTTTGATACATAAGAGTTAAATCATATACAGTTACGTACAAACAGCACGGGGTCCGCGATCTACCGAAGGTAGATTGCCTACCTGATAATATACTGCTGCAAATCAGAATTTTTATTCCGGGCAACGAAAAAGTTAAGATACATTTTGAGCACCATACACCGAATATTATAAATAACGAATTGAACACAGTTTGTGGCATATACAGTTGGTACATTGAACGGGCAACGAAGTGCACGGGATCAGCCAGTATTATATATATATATATATGTTAGCGGTAATGTATGTAATACGTTATTTTATTAAATAACTAGTTATTCTATAAAATCCCTAGATATGTTCGTTAATATATAAATTACATGGTTTTACTAGTTAATACATAAAATACCGATTGGGTTTTCGTTAATGTATGAAATTTATATCATTAGGTAGATGACCGGGACTGGTTTAGATAACATACAAAATTTGTTACCGTTGTTGTTATTAATAAAAATAATAAAATAAGATAGTATTGAACCACACCATTTGGCATAGACTAGACTTATTCGTGTGACAGTGTACTGCGAGTTTACTTACTAGTTAGTTTAATCATTTTTAGTGTTGTATAGTGACATAGTGTAATAACTAATAGGTGTGCTTTAAAATGAAAACCAAATTTGATACAATTATAAAAAATACAACAACAGAGCGTAATAACAGCACGTTTTTGCTAAAAGAAAAATATGATTTCTTAATAAGTGAAGTGAAACGTATTAAAACAGGAAAAAAAGAATTTTTTTTTTATTTATTTATTAATAATTCAAATAATTTTGTTTTAGGAACTAAATACGGTATACTAAAACAACTTTACTCGAGGTCACAATTTAGTTTATGCACAGAAAAGCTTATTACGCTTAGTGACGTTCCAGATGTAGATATTTGCCTTCGGAAAGCATCCGATCAATTGGTAATGGACAAGGGTTTTTTAAATGTACATGCCAACAAAAGTGCACCACAAAACGGTGCATATATTATGTTTAAAAAATAATTTACTTTGAAATTCTAAATGCCACCCAAAAAGTTCCTGTACTAATAAATAAATTGTAAATTTTAAAAAAAAAAATTATACAAATACATTGACGTGAAAAAAAATTAATATTAATATTTTATATAATAATGTAAGGTGTGTTTGACTTATACTATAACATTTGATTTTTTAATTTGTAAAGTGATTAAGATTTTAATAATTATTCTAATAAATTGTTGTGAAATAAATTAATATTAATTTTTTTATATAATATTGTCAGGCTTGTTTGACTTAATACTATAATATTTGATTTTGTTTGTAACTTGTAATTTGATTAAAACTTTTATTCAATAATAGTTTTAAATACATTAACTAAACCCTTATTATTATTAGTTTATAAAATATCTAGTTGGTATGTAGAATAACTAGTTGAAGTATATATTTATGGAACATGGATTCATTCAGTACATTAACTGAAAGTACCAGTAATTCTATAAAATAACTAGTTATTCTATAGAATTACGGAATTTCATACATTAACGCTAACATATATATAGTTAAGCATATTAACATTCATATATATGTTACGGTAAAAGTACGAATAGTGGTAAAACCTAGGATTTATCGGTAAATCCTAGGTTTCGCCGACTGCTGGCGGTAAATGTCCGAATTTCGGTCATTTACCGATTGATTTCGGTAAAACCTAGGATACACAAAATAGTTTAGTAAAACCCCGAATGATTTTTGTAGTTTGGACTTTTACGAAAGGGAATATGGTAAAATCTTAGGATAAACAATCAGTGTTAATAAAAGTCCGAAATTGTTTACCAATTGTGTGATCGTGAGACCTGTAAATCCAAAAATACTTTTGGGAGGTATAAGTTCACGCAACCCCCCCCCCCCCCCACATGATCCCACAGACTTCAAACTGGTGTCAAAATTTTGCAATTTTTATGCAATTAATTGCATGTCTCACCAAAAAAATCGCAATTCATCGTGAGGCCCGTAGATTCAAAAATAATTATGATTGGGCCAAGTTCAAGGCCTCCCACACAGATGATCTGAAACAAGCACAGTTAGTATAAGAGGATAAATAGCAAATAGTAGTCAATCTATTATTGAAGTTGTCGACTGCAAACATTTTTTTCCCGAATTTTTTTATTCAAAAATTTCCCATGTAACCTATTATGGTATAAAAATAATAATAAACATAATTTTTTTTTTAAATATACTAGAACTAAAATTACCATGTAGTATATTTAGCAGTAAGAACTATTAAATTTTAATAAATTGATAGTTGTTTAGGTACATTCTGTATATAAATATATCGTACATAAACAATGTCATGACGATAATTATTTAAATATACCTATGAGACTATTCTTGTTTATTTTTTGAATGTTGAATATTCAAATTGTTTTTTCATTGTGTAACAGACGTACATGAGCGATTATATTATTGTCTTGCCGTTTTTGATTCAATAAGTTACATTAATCAACCGAAAATAAAATCTATTTTTTCTTCGAATACTCAACATTGTTCCTGATTCAATTCATCAAACAAGACAGGCATGTAAAGTCATATTGTAGTAATTATACTCTGTTCAAGTTAAAAAACGTAGACGGTTCCAGTTTTCATCGTAATCGGCCAGTGTTAACTATTATTGTATATCTGAATACCTGCCGTGTCTTAATCCTGCGCACAAGTCGGCCACCGACAAACTTTCTTAACCTGAGCACAGTATATTATAATATATAATTAAATAACTAAATTAATAGCACATTACTATTTATCATAATATATGTATATTTTAAATTTAAGAAGAATTTTTAATTAATACACATCATAATATTATATTATATTTATTGACACTTATAATATAAAATAACAGAGTAATTATTTTCTCACTGTTATTTGATTAAGAAATATTGTTTTCTTATGTAGCCTAGCTATTAATATCAAGACTGGTGAGTGAAAAACTAGCCACCACTATACTATAGACTAAGGTCCAGTTATGACGATGATTATATGAAAATTTTTTTATTTTACTAGCTGAGTAGAACAAGTCAAATATAGGGACCATAAAAAGTGTCAATACACCACAATTGTTTCGAAATTCTTATTCTATAACTAGTCCAGAAATTGATAAATATATTTGTTGTAATAGGTATACCTATAGGTATACTAATAGGTATACCTATAAGCTAACCTATTACCTACAAGCTAATAATGATGGTTTATTTTAATTTCTCCTAATAAATTATTAATAATAATTGTATTATTGTTATTTTTTATGTGGTGATAGTTATTGAAGCAGTAAGATAGAAACTTCCAACCAACAGCAAAAATAACAACTAGGTACCACAATAACAACAACGACAATGTCTGATGAAGAAGATAATGCTAATCTTATATTAGTAAGCTTATAGAATTATTTTTAAAACTAGTTTCATTGTCTCAATCATTATTTGTTATTTAATATTAAGTAAGTATATTCATAATCGCAAATAGGGAGGATTTGGTCGCTATGCCCTTCCAACAATTTCAATAGGCCCCCCTCAACATTTCGTAAATTTTATTTAAGCTTATACAATATTATTATAGTACCTTCTACCTAGGACTTTAGCCCTCACAAACCTCGAAACGCTATTTGCGCTTATGGGTGCCATCGTGCCAACCATCTATGCTATGTGATAAACGTAAAATATTAATCTTGCTGAGATGTACAATATTACAAAAGTTATGTTAAACAAAATTGCGCGTTTTGCAAGTAAGCATCGATGAAGTGGACTTATTAATTATAAGCTTGATTATTTAATACAAGGCTCCTAATATATTGTTACAATGACATTTGAAAAATATTAAAAAACTATAGTCACAATTTTTTTTTATACCCATTTAAAGTTCAAATATTAACAAAATATACGTATTAATCACGATGATTTGCAAATTACTTTGATTTAGAAATTCATAAAAATTTTTCTTTTGAAAATGTAATGCAAGATTCCTCATAAGTTTGTCTACCTTTATCAAAAAAAAAAAAAAAATGTCCACAAGATTGTCAAATTAAATTGTTATGATCGTTTGAAGTTCATATTTTTACAACATTGGATATTCATTCGATTTCTCGTGTAACAATTTTCTTATTTTGTTGTAATTCAAAAACGAAAAACTTTAGACACATGAAAATGCCACTTGTATTTTCATTTTATATACAGCATAAAATTTTGAATTTTGTCTCGTTTTGAGCTGTTTACGACAATTTCAGCTTGCAATTTTTTCAGTTTTTTTTTCTATAATTTATCAATAAAATTGAAGTTGGAAAATATTAAAAATACATAGTCAACATTTTTTTTATAGACATTTAAAACCGATTTTTTACAAAATGTATCAAATTTACAATTTAATAATTATTTTTTAGTAAAAAATGACTGGCAGTAACTAGTAAATATTATAGACAAGGCTTGTTGTTTTATGTTTAGTATACACACTTTACCACTCAACCGGCAAATAGCCGTATAGTAATTGATAAAATAAACATATGATTAATTGTGCCTATGGAATTTTAATATTGTTCAAATGTCATTGTAACAATTTATTAAGAGCCTTGTATTTTATTGTCAAGCTTTTTTACAGAACAAATAAAATTTTATTGAAATTCATAAAAAAAAACAAACAAAATTGGAAACCGAAAATCCATAAGCAGTTCAAAATAAATCCAAATAATATTAATAATAAATGTTATCGTGTATAGAAAATGATAATATAAACAACCAGTGAAAATTTCAAATATCTCTACGGTTATTTGTTTTGGAGTTACATCAAAAACCAAAATCGATTGTGTCGAAAACAATTTAGAGTAATAAGATACTTATTTGTTTTTTTTTCTCTACAATTTTCAACACTAATGGGAGTGGGAGTATGGGATTTTGACCTCCCCAATGCGCCAACTAGATTAACTTTGCCATCAAACAAGATACTTAAGTTGAAAATCGAATCATTATTTCGACTACTTATCGTGTACACACGCACAAATAAGGAAATAAAGAAAAAAAACACATCATTGAAAAACCAATACCTACATTAATTAATTTTTATTTATTATAATAATTTAATCACTTAATCAATAATCGTGATATTGTTGGTAAAAAATATTATATTTTAATATGGATATGAAATAGTGAAAAAAATACGGCCAATTGGGGGAGTTCAAACCCCATGACCCCCCCGTGAATACGCCATTGATTCTCTTAGATATAATAATTATAATAATAATAATAGTTAATACAGTTAAGTTACTATTATTATTATTATTAGGTAACGTTAAACTGCTTTGATATATTATCTGCTACAATATGTGCCTTACATAAACTGAAAAAAACTTTTTTGCCACATTTATTAAAATTGCTTGTATTGCCTCATTGACTATATAGAATGAACAGAGGACACTCGAAATTGAATCAACGATATCAATTAATAAGAATTGTGAAGTAAAATGGCCTGTCAAACGTAGTACGTCATTATTTTTTATATTAATACTGTCATATTATGTATTAATTAATTAATTTTAATTTATATTAATTTAATATTTTTATTGTTAGAGATCGATAAGAAATTATATAATAGGCGCCGGATTGCTCGAATACATCGTTTAATATTACCTAAAAGTGCATTGGTGATATTTTCTGAGTTGTTCACTGGTGTGCCAATCCAAATAGAAGAGAACACATTTTTGCATGGTAGAGCTTATACCGCTACAATTGAGGTAGGATAAATGTTGAGATACAATTGAAATAGAAATATTGATTTAATTTTTGGTGTAAAAATAATTACTTAAAAAAACTTAGATTGATGGCCAGAAGTATACAGGAAATCACATTTCCAAGATTGAAGCCAAACAAAAAGCATGTGAACAATTATTTCGTAGTATGTTGAGCAAACAATTAATCAAGGAAACTGGTAGGTGAAAAGTGTTGGACCAGTTAACTTTAAATATTGCTCAATTATTGTGTATATAATATAAATAATATTCTAAATTTAACTAAAACAAAAAAAATATCCCGTAGAAAAGAAGATGGATAATAGAAAATATGGTACAGCACAAAAACCTACAGAACCACCTCAGGAGGATTTCCCATGGCCACACTTTGCTTCGATTGCTATGCACAAATTAATAAATCAATGGAAACTACAGCCTTATTCAGATGATATTAGTTTACAAGACAAACAATCATTTGTACGTAATTATAATGTCATTGAACTAAATATTTACAAGTTAGGTAAATAATTATAAATATTGCCCTGAACTTGATGCATTTGCATCTTTTTTTCTAATGCTTACATTCTAGGCTGGTCTTTGCAGAAATTTGATTCATGAAATATAGAATTTAATAGTACAATTTTTATTTTGCATTTTTTGTATTTTTTGGAAACTTATTGCTTTACGGTCATTTTTAGTTTTTTTAGTGCATTTTATTCATTTTTCTTTAACATTTTTTTAACATATATTTAAATTTTTCTTGTTGAAAGTCACACTTTATTGTAACACATTCTAGTCATCGATATTTAATTTTTTTATTTGTATGTAGACATATGATATATTGACATATTATATAATATGAATAATGTCAATGAATCTAAAATACGGTTTTATTATATATTCAAGTTGAGTAATGATGGGTTACTAATTGAGAAATAAAAAATTATTATAATAGGTATATTTTGTTGTAAAATAGGTTTTTTTTAATATTTGTTATAGGTACATATAGGTACAGTAAGTAATGTTTTTGCAGTTTTTTTCCATTTTATATGTATTGTCTATAACTAGATACACCTATGTTGTTAAAACAAAAAAATGTGATTGTTGCCATATCTTAAACTATCATCTATGTTAAGTGTTTATTTTATGGGCATCGATAAAAAAAATAACAAAGAAATAAATAACATTATTTTTTATATTCACTTTAATAACTTAATAAGTAGGTATAATACAAGCGTATACACTAGGTACTCTACCATGACTACTTTCACCATCGAATAAGCTTATTTAATAAATTAAAATAGTATATTATAGATATTAGGTAGGTACTGTCTAAAACAGCATTAATTATATATAATAGGTACCTAGTTAAACTTATTAGTATGTTAAAATATGTATATAAAGAAGTTAAAATATATAATTCCATTTAAAATAATATTGCTTAGATAATAAATAAAGAAAAAGTAACTATATACATTTAATAAAATTATTAACGAATAAAGTTAAAAATTGAAAAAAAAATATGTTCTATGTAGAATTATTAATTAACCTAATAGCAATTTAAATACAAATTGAAGGTCATATTATGTTATTCATATTTTGTTTTACCTTTTATTTTTAAGTTGCACACAAGTACACAACACAGTAGGTATATTATAATTGTTTAACTTAAATCCTTTTATTTTAGGTTGCTGCTCCTATGAAAAATTTTCCTTCAGACGCAACAAAATACCATCCAGTAAGTTTATTAGCTCAACTGAGGCCTGATGTGACATTTACCTATACTATTTTGACTCCAGTTATCCATGCACATTGTACAATGGATGGAATTCCTTTCACTGGAATCGGTAATAATATTTTTGTAATATTTTGTTAGTGGTTTCTTTGTTGGATTTATTATTAAAATAAGTTTATTAATTTAAAACTCACATGTCATAGTTAATTATTTTTTATAGCTTCTTTACTATATAAAACAAATACATATACCATTATCAGTCAATGGCATATTATTATAGCGATTTCCGTCTGACGGCACTATTTTACACTGGTTTTCACCGGTGGCATGACAATTAATAGGAGTGATTAGTATGACCAGTGAAAAAAAATACGATTATTCATATTATAAGAGAGTAGTGTAAAATCTTATCTATAGGAGTTCAAAAAAACTAAACCATACATTTTTACCTTGATACGATATTAGGTACCTACTTCCGGTGGTGGCGGCATCACTGTCCAAGTGTAGTGTGAATAAATTAAATAGATGGAAAATGCTATTAGATACCAAAGTTATCTTTGTAAAAAAAAAAAATTAACTTATTAAAAGTACTAGTTTTAATTTAAACAAAATAAAATTTATTCACGTAATAAAATCCTTCGTAACAAATATTGGTTGGATTAATAAGTAATAAGTATTTATAAGAAAAATTATTTCAAAAATTTGTTTATTGCTATTTATTTATATTTTATAGGTTCGTCAAAAAAGAGTGCCAAGATGGAATGTTGTATTACCGTAATAAAGTATTTTTGGAAATTTGATTTCCATGACTATTTATAAACTAAGAATTGAACATATCATATATAATAATATAATCATACATGTTTGTATTTTGTAAATTATATTCAGTAGGTATATGCCTATGTTTTCAACAATATTGATTTGTTTTTATTTAATTAAATATACCTATACCTACATACCTATTATCCTAAAATTATCTTAAGCCTATTACCTTAGGATTTTGATTCTTGAGAACTTACGTTTTATTATTGATAATATATTGTTCATAAGCAGTGATGTGGCGTGTATAGAAATTTTTCATGGAGGGGGTCCTGATAATGTTCCCAACACATTCATGTAGTTGCTCCTCCATACATACTGTGATGACGTCTCTCTTACGAAACGCACCCTACAGAAAGTGTTCGAGTTACAATTTCTAATTAGTCTTACAAGTTTGTTTGGGAAACTAAAATCTTCAAGTGCTGCCCATAGTTGATTCCTGTTAATACTATCATAAGCCTGTTTAAAATCAATAAAAATCATAATATATAATGTCATATTCGTAATATTTTTCCATGATTTTTCGTATAGTAAATATATGATCACTAGTCGATTTTCCTTTTCGGAAGCCACATTGGTATTAACCAATTATCTCTGAGGCATACTTTTCAATCATGTTATTAATATATCAGTGGAGAGTACATAATAAGTAGTGTCCAGCAAACTTATCCCTCTATAATAGTTGTCCGTGTTTGTTGGGTCACCTTTCTTAAAGATGAGACATAAGATAGCCGTGTTCCAGGCTTTTTATAATTTTTCACTCTTCCGTATACTCGAAATAAGGTAACGAATAATTTTTATAAGGTATTTTCTTGCAATTTTGAGCATTTCCGAATTGATATCATTTTTCCCTGGTGCTTTGTTATTTTTAAAGATTTTACTATTAGTTCAATTTCGTCCAAACCGATCTCGGGTAATTCTATACCTACGTGGCTACGTATATTGTGTACACGTACACAATATTATTTTCAATTTATATATTATTCAAATTATTTTCAGCGTTAATGAGATACTGCGATGTATTTACTTTTATTATTTAGTAGGTATTTACTATTTACCGAAGTAGTATTTGGACGTCCCCCCACCGCGGATTCTAGATAGTGGTTCTGGGCGTTTCCACTCTGGACTGACACATTTCCCCTGAATCAATATATATATTTTTTCACCTAATAATAGGTTGGAAAATAGGTTCTTTTGTTTTACCCGACAAGCACAGTTTATTTTTATAGTTATTTTAAGTTCAAATTTGGACGAAATTACTTATTAAAATCAATATTAACGATTTTGGTTTTTTGTTTTAATTTAAAAATATTATTCAGGGATATATGAACCAGAAAAATCAAAAATTATGGGTTATCCATACAATATACCATATTATAAGGAGTAAGAAGTATGCTCAATGATAAGACTGTGCATATTTTTTAGGTGACGAAGGATCTTTATAAGGTATTTTCTTACAATTTTGAGCATTTCCGAATTGATATTATTTTTCCCTGGTGCTTTGTTATTTTTAAAGATTTTACTATTAGTTAAATTTCGTCCATATCGGTCTCGGGTAATTCTATACCTACGTGGCTACGTATATTGTGTAATGTATATATATATGTATATAGGTACACGTACACATTTATTTTCAATTTATAAATTATTCAAATTATTATCAGCATTAATGAGATAGGTACTGCGATGTATTTACTATTATTATTTAGTAGGTATTTACCGAAGTAGTATTTGGACGTCCCCCCCCGCGGATTCTAGCTAGCAGTTCTGGAATTTTCCACTCTGTACTGAGACATTTCCCCTGAATCAATTTATATATATATTTTTTACACCTAATAATAGCTTGGAAAATAGGTTATTTTGTTTTACCCGAGTAGTATATATTTGTATGTTCACAGCCAGCTTTTCCAGGGAAAAAAAAAAAGTTCAAGGGGAGAATGTCCCCTTGGAGCACTCAGATTTACCGTGTAACACAATTTCACACTGATTGGCTACCAAATTTCGTCTCACGTAAAAAAATATTTAATATTTTTTTCTTTTTTACTCGTGTTGGTTACACTGTTTTTTTTATCTAAAATTTGATAAACAAATTTACAATAATTTTTGAAGTTGATTATTTTTTTTTATTATATTCAGTTACTAATGAACTATCGTTCACTCAAGTTGTGTCTCATTTTTCTTTATTTTCTCAAAGTTTTATTAAATTGAATAAGTTATTTAATTTCTTCAAAAATGAATTTTCAAAAATGCACAAACGATATCCAGTCATTGGTCGATCAAATACGATTCAATTCAACGTCAGCGTATCCAGAATTCTCTACATTTGTGTCGAGGTTACGAACTTTTAGAAGTTTCCCTTCAAATACCGGACAGAATAAGTACAAACTCTCGGAATGTGGTTTTTACTATATCAATCTCGACGATGCAGTTCAATGTCATTGGTGTGGAATAATTCTACATAGTTTTGAAATCGGTGATAATTGTTTTATAGAACATACTCGATTCTCACCTAGATGTTTATTTGTATTGTTAATGAAAGGAAATCAGTTTGTTCAAAAAGTCCTAAGTAAATATTGTAAAACCGAAGTTATTTGTAATTGTGAAACCGGTTCGTACGATACCATTTGTTAAATCATGTTTGTTTTTTTTAAATGTTTATATATACATATATTTATTTATGCTGCTTATAATATTTGCTGTATTGGATAAAAAAAAAAAATAAAACAAAATTGAATTTTTTATCTTAAATGTGTTAATATTCGATTTAATATCTCGTGGACATACAGTCCTAGCGAATTAGTGCGTATAAGATAATTTAAAATGTTTTTCAGGTAACAGGTTAGTAAGTATATGTAAATTCCCTCTCTTGTACGCACTCATTGGCTATCTGTATGTTCACATTTTTTGCATTTTTTCCAAAGAGTTTTTTAGTATATAATATGACTGCACAGGGGACAAACTAACAGTTCAATGTATAACTCCTAACAGTTATATCCCACTTCTTATTTATAAAAGATTTTTTTTTTTAAATTTGACAAAAATAACTTCACTATGAGTTCACCAATAATTGTCTGTAAGTCTACATTCGACATCCGGGCTTTTAACAAGAAAAGTATTACAGTTGGATTACTAATTAACAAGCAGATTTCAATTATTTTATTATTGGAATGTAAACTTACAAAGAAAATTATCACATTAAGTTTAGAAGAATGGTTTACACTGATGTCTGAACCTAATTACAATTCGATTATTAATAATTTAAATACTAGGGTGAGGCGTGTAAAAATCACCGATTCCTTTTCATATTCAACCAATGTTAAACAGAGTTTAATTACCCTACATCTAAATGAGGAATACATTACCTTGTCACATGTAGATTTGTACCGACTTCGTCAATTACAGAATTTGATAGATTTGTACGTGGTAGACAAGCAAAAACGTTTAGCAAATTATCAAAATACTTTCAACACTGCATATGACCTAATTAAAAATGATGTCCGTGGTCTGCCGTCCACCTGTCAGAGGAACGAATTTACCAACCAATATATTCAAAACTATGATTTTAATTATTATAATCACCTACAGAACGATGACACATCATTTTTATATGAAATATTACAATTCCATTTTAACACATTGTCCGATATGATTTTGCAAGATCTAATATTATAAAAAAATATTTAAATATGTATAATTATTGTTTTTTTTAATAAAACTTTTTTTTCAATAATAAACTTGCTTTTTATTTTAATTACATCTCACCTTAAATCATAAAGAATAGTTTTAATAAGTTTTAGTTTTAATATTATGTTTTAAAAGTAGATTAAATTTGTTAGTATTTCAAATTACTATAATTTTTAAATTTTTAAAATTTTTTTCCAAACAACCATAGTTTATAGGTTTATGTTTTCCAAGACCTTTAAGTTTTGAATAAATAAAAACATACATGCATAATAATATTTTGTTTATTAAATGAAACTCATTTTTCAAATAATAATCAAACAGTCTTCTTGCTTTTAATAGTCTGACGCTTCGGATCGGTTAGTAATTTGTCAAATATGGTTTGTATTGTCTCATTAAGACCAGTATGAAGCGTTTGATCTTTTGATTCATCACTCGTATACAATCTGACAGTAGCTTCACTGAACTTCCATCTACAAATTATTTTATTTTAAAAACAAAAGAAGTAAATAAAATCAGTGAAAAAAAAAACATATTAATCAATATTTTAAATTTAAACCAATGTATTTACCTGTCTTTTACTGGTACATTCTCAATGTTAGCAACCTTATAGTGACTAATTACCCAAAGCTCCGTGCCTTTTTCTTCAAAAGGTGTTTTTATTGTAACTATGCCATCCCCTTGTCTAAATGTCAGCGAATTAATTAACTCGACATCAAATTCTTCTGATCTCAAACGTTCGGTAACATTATCTCTGTATGATGCACTCTATAAAAAAAATTAAATTATTTATGCTATCATTATAAAAATATTATTTATATTACCAATTTATTCTGCTTTTTTTTCATAGGTTTTTTTGCACTTGTTTTTTCTACAGCACGTTTTAGACCAGGTTTTGTTTTTGAAAAAGACGGT